ATAAATAAACACTAACAAAAAAGAGAAAGGGTCTCTCTAGGAATTTTCTGATTGCAGTAGGAACGAGTCCTCAGTGCAAAGTACAGTCATGTCTGTGTGTCTGGAGGACATGTGCAGGTGTCCCCAGAGCCAGTGGTGTTTGATCACTTATGATCCATTAGACCCTATGCTGAGGACCTGTACCTGCGTTTTCGCCTTGCCTGCTACCCACGACTCCATGTCCCATCTCCCAGACGAGGAAACCAAGGCTCCGGGAGGTCAAGTTCACAGAAATATGAAACCAGGCTTCAAACTTAGCTCTGTCCCACTCTAAAATGCATTCCCTCAGCCACATGCTGCCTGGCAACCAGTCATTATGGTCAGACAAATATGCGAGGACTGAAGGGACAACTGAGTGGAGTATCTGAAACTAGGAGAAAGGAGCCGTGCCTGTGTTCACATTTGTAATCATCACACTGAGATAAGGGTGTGATTGTCACCCAGTAAATATTTACTAAGGGTGTGCACGGCTGCCATTTATGAAACTGTTTATAGTTTGTGCTCCAATAGCATGGAATGGGAAAAACTGGTATTTCCATTCAAAAGGGGCTTTCTTGCAGAGTTTAGGAATTAATGTGAACAGGAACGTGGGGACATGCAGGGAGTGCTGAACTGGCCCCGGAAGAGACAGCAGCAGTTGCCAACCTATAAGCCCATACAACACATCAACAAATTGAAACCATGCCTGGCTGGCTGTTGGTCCACAGCAGGATCGACCCCTGCATCTCAGAAGTGGTAACGATCCAGGACGATAGGTCCTGGTGAGTGGGGAGGGGCCGGGGGCTGGGGTCAGGTGCTAGAATGTCTTCGGGAAGTCTGGGGGAGCTGGCTGCTCTCAGCTTTAATCCCAAACTGACCCAGAAGTTTCTGGATAGTGTGTGGAAAAGTGTGGATGCATGTGGCATTCCATGTTTACCTTGAACTTTTCTCTTTGGGATCTTGTAATACAAAAGATAGCATCTGCTTTCCATTGGACGGAAGCTGCCTAACTGCCACGGAAAAAGCAAATGATAGCAGGAGTCACCAGGATAGAGGACCACAGCCTCTGCTTGCTCACTCTTGGGGAAAATAACATATTCCAGGCATGTAGATTTCCTAGGTAACAGATCCCTAACTCTTTCATGCATTAAAACTTGAACTAAAATCTTTCTAGAACGTGTCCTGCCTCCTCAAATTGGAGCTACTGAATGCCATTTAACCTTTTTTTCGGGACCTTGGACAGATAATGACTGTCCATTGTCATGGTATGGAGGTGGCATGGGACTGTCACTTTGTCAGGGTCCTTCAGTCCTGTTCCTAGCTCTGCTGTCCCTACCCTAACTTCTATTTTTAAAACACTTTATTCATTTATCTTTAGAGGGGAAGGGAAGGAGAGAGAGAGAGAAACATCAATGTGTGGTTGCCTCTTGTGTATCCCCTGCTGGGAACTGGCCTGCAACCCAGGCGTGTGCCCTGACTGGGAATTGAACTGCTATCCCTTAGTTTGGCAGGCCCGTGCTCAATCCACTGAGCTACGCCAGCCAGGGACCTACCCTAACTTCTAAGCCACCCCTCCCACCCCCAAGTTTCTGTTTGCAATGCCTAATCCACAAGGGTCTGAAAAAACGAGATACCCAGAGCAGCCAAGGATCATGCTATTCTCTCCCTCAGCAATTCTGGTCTTTATACAGCCAACGGCCCCAAGTCCACAAAGGTATGGGTGAAAGGGTGCTTGCCGCAGCAGCACAGCGGGGAACGGTGCACACTTGTCCCAAGAGTGTTTGTAGGAAATGGCTAAATCAGCTGTGGTCGGTCCGTGTTGAAGAGCACCCTGCTGCGGGAAGAAATGAGGTGGACCCGCCTGTGGGATCATGTCCCATAGAAACCGTTACTGAGAAAAGCTGGTTACGGACAAGTTCATGACCCCACTTGGAATGGATGCCCTGTCCCCCCACCCCCGCCCCTGCCATCTGCTGCTCCCTCTAATGCACCCAGCACCAGCGAACCTCCTGGCACACACCCAAGGTCCCTCTGCTCTGCGCCGGTCCGTCACAGTGCCCTTTCGACTCCTCCTGTCCCTGACCTGCGGTCTGACCCTCGCCTGCCTGTTTGTTTCTGCCTCTCTCAGTGTTTGTGTGCTGAGTCTTTCCCGCCCAGGATATTAGCTCAAGGAGGCAGGACTGTGCTGTTTCACTCAGTGCCTGTGTGCACAAGAGAATCCAACTTTTATAAAACAAAGTGAGATTTACTAAAATATATAGAAAATAGAGCATTTTGATGGAAAGGCTCTATGAGTTTTGCCAACAGACCAGAACCCAAGAATGAAATTCTGAGGTGGCTGAGTGTCGCTTTGCCTCCGGAAACTGTGATGAGGAAGTCCTTGGGAGGACCCTGCCCCCAAGCCCATAGTTAATTAAGCATGTTATGTAAGTCAAGCTTTGGGTTTCTGGCAGGAGAAACCCAAAATGCATTTGGCTTGCAGGCTTCCCTTGTGTTTATGTAAGAGAAGTCACTGTGAAATTCCTCACTGGAAGCAAAACTTGCTCAGAGGCTCAGTTTGAGAACCTTCCCACCCTGGCCCTCGTCCCCAAGAAGGGAAGACCACTGAAATCTGGCTCTAGGAGAAGGGGAATGGGAACTCTAAACAAGGAAGATTCCAGATTCCTGCAAACCCAGGATTATCTTATCCCTTCGGAGGAGGGTGGATCAATGAAAATGCAGCAATGGAGACTGACTCAGCGAATTCAGGGCTTTGAGAGGCAGAGCCATGCCAGGAAGCGGCCTTCCCAGGGTTCTCAGGTTGTGGTCAGGGGCACAAGCATGGCCCTGCTTAGGGAGGAAGGGGTGAGGACAGTGGGAATTTAGCCAGACTGGCCCAGCTCTCTGCTTCAGCCTTCCTAATCTTTGCAAGATAATAGTTCAGCCTTTTTCAGGATGAACTAACTTAGTACGCTGCTGTGCCGGGAGTGACACAGAAAGGGGTGCACACAGCAGCCTGGCCCGTGCCCCTAGAAACCTCACACCCGAGGGAGCCACAGGGCCTAGAGGAGTGTAAGTGGAGGGCGGAGACCCCCTGTGCGTGGGGGCTGGCTCAGGGACTTTACGCCCCCTGTTGCACTTAACCCTCACTTCAGCCCCTGGATATTTTATGAACCCAGGGTCACAGGGTAGAGCCGGAATTCAACCCAGGACTGTCTCACTTAGAGGCTGGTGCTATTTACAGCACCCGGAATAAAAACTCAAAGACAGACCTGCAGCAGGTCAGCGAGTAAACCCCCAGGGTGGGACGGGGCATGACCAGCCTGCCTGTCCTCCTCTGGTGCCTTGGGGAAGCAGGTGGGTGTGAGGCTGTGGAACCCGAGCCTGCACTCAGTGCGCAGGGCTCCACCTCCACCTGCAGGGCGTGGCCAAGTCCAGCTTGGACGCAGGTCTACCTGGCTTCTGGCTGAACTCTGTCTGCCACACCCATCCACCCGCCACCCCCCACTGACCCACTCCCCCATGGCTGGAAGCTACCCCATTCACCCCCTTCTCAGCCCTCTTGCTCCTCCTTGTGGAATAAACAAAAGTGTCATTTCCTTAAGATTAATATCAACCAACTAATCCAAAACCACACAAACAGTTCCAACAACGAGACTGATGTTTGCCCAAGTTCTCCTGCCAAATGCCGACAGCCTGTTACTTCAGATGCACAGCCGCAGCTCCACCGATGGTGCTGTAGGGACTGCACCGAAATAGCCAACTGGAGCCTGGGAAAGTGACCTTTGGTGGGCCCATTCCTGACCGACTCCTTCCTGTCACCATCACTGTCACGGCACCACACACTTACTCCACAAGAGGCTTGACGAGAGTCCTTTGGAACCGTCCCGTGCCTTTTATGAGGGGGCACTACAGAGATTCCCAGAGGCCGGAGAGGTGAAGTGCCTCTTGCCATGTGACACAACTGGGGAGAAAAGTGCCAGCTCCATCCGATTCTAGTCTCCACCCCTGCTCTTGAGCCCTGAGCCAGGCCGCCCTCGCTGGTCCCGACCGCCCTCCCTGGCCTTGCTGGCCCTGCAATCTTGGGCCCTGGACTGAGCTCAGCACGTGGCTTTGTGTGGCAGCTTCTTCTCAGCCAGAGCTCAAGTCAAATGTCTGCTCCTCAGGGACCCTCCCCAGCCATCCAGCCTAAGTTCTCTGTCTGGCCCCCTCTCGGGTGCCCTCCCTGGATCCTGTTCTCCTTTGCACTTACCACGAGGTTGCCTGTGTGCTCCTCTGTGTTCTGTGCCCCCCAGAATGCCAGCTGTGTGACAGACAAGGTCCTCACTGGGTTCAGTTTCCACTGTGTCCCCAGCCCTCAAACGGTGCCTGGCACATCTCAGGTGTCACGAACTATTTGCTGAGTGGACCAACGACTAAGCTACCTCGGCTCTCACCACAGCTCTGTGCTCTGGTGTGTCAAAGGAAAGATGGCTGCAAATTCTTTGCAGCTCCTCCCGAGGGGAGGTGGAGGCTTTCTCCCCACAACCTCTGCCGCCCCATGAAAACCTGGACTGAGCCTGTGACTCGTCTGACCAATGGAAATTGGTGTCGGAAATGAGGTCATGTGACTTCTGAAGCTAGATCTTAAGAAGCCTATCAGCTTCTGCTCAGGTCCCTCGGAACAGCTGTGCAAGCCAGCTGTCACTCGAGGTGTCTGACTAGCCCAAGTCCACCACGCAGTCAGGAAGCCCAAGCAGCTATGTGGTGGCAGACACGAGTGAAGAAGTCACCTGGCACCTCCCCAGGCACCCTCACTTGGCAACCACAGCAGCAAGCCCACTCGAGCCCTGCCCAGCTGAGCCCAGTCAATGGACACAAATGTGACATGACAACAAGTCAATTTAAGCTACCACACATTGAAATGATGTTACACAGCAACCGATATAGACAACTGATCAGGAACATAACTCTTCATTTTTCAGATCAAAGAAACCAAGGCACTGAAAGATCAAAAGACTTACCCAAGGCCAGTTGGCAGAGGGGGTTCCCCCACCTTGGATCACTCTGTAGCTCATTTATATTTGTTCTTTCTGATTTTTTTTTAACACCACAAGTAGTCAGTTCCGGGTTGAGAACTGCCTGGTCCTTAAGAAGTTCTGCCTTCTCATTGCAGATCTTCATAAACAATGAATGGCACGACGCCGTCAGCAAGAAAACATTCCCCACTGTCAACCCTTCCACCGGGGAGGTCATCTGTCAAGTAGCGGAAGGGGACAAGGTGAGAACCAGTGACTTGCCTCGGGGTAGGGCTGAGTGGGGTGGGGGTAAGCAAAAATAATTTAATTTTTCACTTAATTTGTTTTCATATGATTGAAACTTTACCATGTGTGTATTACTTTCACACCTAAAAAAATCCCAATTAAAATTTTTGAGTAAATGAATCAACAGAAACTCTTTATTGCAGGCAAAGGTGCTAGACTGTACCCGCATGCACTAATTCATAGTGCTGTTGACTGCACACGCGGAACTGCACTTGAGAACATCTAATCCATTCTCTCCTTTCCAGACCTGGAGGGAGTTGCATGGCTAGATGAAAATGTTTTTGAGCAGAATTTGGATCTCCTGAGATCTAGCTCTGGTGTTGGTAGTATGTTTTGTTTGCATGATATGTACCTGTAGTAATTAAGTAGTAGTAGTAATTTTAAAATTTAAAATACAGACCTTAACTATTACATTTTCTTGAATAGAGAAGGCATTAGAAATAATTCAAGAATGCCTCCTGCCCTCTGCTTTAAGACAGTCTCCTCCATTCATGATGAAGGCCTTTGCTAAAAGCAGATGTGAACGCTCTGGCTTACAGGGCCATCTGACGTAAATGCGGTTAATGAAAACAGAGTTTCCCCTCATGGTACACATCTCCCCGCATGAAAAATTCTAGCTGGGTCGATTCCACTGCTCCCCCATGGGGAGGGGAGCCGGGTGAACCTGCATTTGTTGGACGCTGCCAGTCCTCTGGGGAGGACTGGCTGCGTTCACGGAGCTTGCTTTCCTAGGGAGGGGAAACGGTCCAATTCTAAGCACTGACTCCGGAGTGGCTCTCTCTCTCCAAAACTCACTGGGGGATTTTGAAATGAAAATACAGAAATGGAAACTGTTGGGGGCCTCATTTGCTCCACGACTCCTGGAAAGGGGTGCCTGAAGCCCACCAGGCAGAGTCCTTCAGGGCCAGGAAGGACTGTCAGGGGCAGGTTTCTGCCCAGGCAGGGCCTGGCGGGCAGTGGGGCGGGCAGTGTTTGGAGGTGGCTGTTGCTGAGAAGGCCTGAGCTGCCTTGCTGGGTGTTTTCCAGGAAGACGTGGACAGGGCAGTAAAGGCTGCCCAGGCCGCCTTCCAGCTGGGCTCCCCCTGGCGCCGCACGGATGCATCCGAGAGGGGCCGGCTGCTGAACCGCCTGGCTGATCTGATTGAGCGGGACCGGACCTACCTGGCAGTGAGTTCTCGGCCCCCTTCCCTCTCATCTCACGAGGTGAATGGGTTCAGAGCATCCCATAGACAGCCAGGAAGGGGCCACATTGCTGACAAGTAACTGGTCAGATTGGCATAGGCTGGGCCCCTTAGGGATATGCCCCATACCAACCAGAGGAGTCCCTTAGCATCTCCTTTGATGCAATGGGTTTGGCTAAGAAAGGAGAGAGAGGAGCCATGCTGGGGAGCTTTCCCAAGGGGAAAAACCCCAGGATGGGACCTCTCCTGGGCCTTCTCCTTGGCTTCCAGAGGCAGAAAAAAAACAGGAGGCAATTCCCTTTACTCTTCCCGATCCACTCCCCAATCCGGCCAGAGTGAACCTTCTAGAAGGCAAATTATAGCATCTATCCCTAAGCCTTCCATGGCATCCTGTATCTTTAGGATAAAGTCCTCTTCCCTCGACATGTTCCGCAAGGTCCCGCCTGGTCTGGCTCCATCTCCCAACTCAGGCTGGACCATGGTCCTCACACACAGCTCAGCTCCCCTACCTTCCCTCAACTTCTCCACTACCAAGCTTCTTTGAGCATCAGGGCCTTTGCACATGCTGTTCCCTCCGCCTGGGGTGCTCTTCCTTCCTCGCTATTTGTACCTTCCCCTTTTGCCTAGTCACCTCCTACATGTCCTCAGGTTGGCGATCCTCAGACTGCCCTTTTCCTTCCTAGCACTCCTAACCCACGTGACTGATGGTTCAGGTCTTCCTTCCCTGGCTCTTTACTTGGGAAGCGCCTCATTTGTCTCTGTATTCCTAGTACCTGGACCTGGCATAGAGTAGAAACTCAAAAAATGCGTTTGTGAAATGACTGAAGGAGAAGTTGGTGAATTCTTCCTCCCATCCCCCTCCTCATTTTCTCTGCCTTTGGAGGGGGAAAGGCAATGCCCCAGAAATGCTGCAGCATTCAGTGGCACCAAGTGGTCACAGGCCCCTCTCAATCCATGTTGAGCCTCTACACTGCTTGTTATTCATTTGCTAGGATTTATTCCTGCACCAGCAAGTCTGTGCTGATCCTGTTTTCTCTTCCCAGGCCTTGGAGACGCTGGATAATGGCAAGCCCTACATCATCTCCTACCTGGTGGATTTGGACATGGTCCTCAAATGTCTCCGGTAAGGCCTCAGGCTTCCTGGTCTTTGTCCTGGCCGGGCCGAAGGGGAGGGGATGCTGCTGGGGTGTAGAAACAGAATAAGGTAAAAGGATCACAAAACTTGGTAGAACATATTCTATTAGACTCAGTACTGAAATTGTAATCTAGTCATAAAAGTTTCTTTTGCTTTTGGAGTCAGTTTTAGTAATTTATGTTTTAGTTCAATTTGTTCATTGCATCTAGGTTCTCTATTTGCTAGTCTCAGTTGTTCATAGTATTCTCTTAGAGTCCTTTTTATCGCTGCGAGGCCGATCCTAATGTCCCCACTTTGCTTTCTGATTTCAGTGATTTGTGTTGCCTTTCTTTCTCCCTAGTCTAGCGGAAGGTTTGTCAATTTTGTGAATGCTTTCAAAAAACCAACTTTTAGTTTTGTTGATTCTTTCTATTCTCCATTTCAACTGTTTCTGCTCTGATCTTTATTATTTTCCTTCCTCTTGCTAGCTTTGAGTTAGTTTGATCATAAACATTTTCATGACCAAGAAACACAAGACGAGGAAGGAGGGCTTTGTTGGAGCCTCTCTGTCAGCAGCAGAGGCTCAGTCTAACCCAGGCAATGTGGAGTCAGGACTTTTAAATCTGGAAGGCCCCTGAGTGTCACTGCTGCCCACCCCTGTCCCTAGCTTCTTTCCTGACTACCAGCAACCTCCTTCAGGGCCGGTCTGTGTGTTGCAACCTGGGCTTGCTTCTGTTTGCATGATTCCAGCCAAAGCGGCAGTCTTTTAGTCCCAAAGCCAGATTCCTGCAGAAGGGGCCCTGAGAGGCTGGCCTTGAGTCTGACCAGCTGTGGTGCATGCCAGTGGAGAGATCACTGTGCAAATAACAGCTGTTCCCCTGGACGGAGGAGGAGAAAGAGAAGCAGTACCAGAAGAGTCGGGGTTGGGCAACATAGCAGGTTCTCAACCAGGGCAGTTATGTCACCTGGGGGACAGTGGGCAGTGTCTAGAGACATCTTTGGTTGTCACAACTAGGTGGGAAGGGGTGCTACTGAAATCTAATGTGTAGAGGCCAGGGACTCTGCTAAATATCCTACAATGCACTGGAAAGCCCCAAACCACAAAGAATCACTCCCCCGCACACGTCAGCAGTGCCAAGTCCAGAACCTTGCTCTACATGATGCCCCAGAGGGAGCGGCCTGGCACATCTTAGCAGTATGCCTGTGTGCTAATTAAATAACTATTCTGAGGCATATAGAACACAGGTAATACAGACCTGGGAGGAAGGGAACAGCCATGCCTTGACTTGTGTAGACTGGCAACCCCTAGGCTGTTTTTCTTCCTAGGGACACAAACCTGTACTCAAACCCAGGCCAACTCCGGCCCTAGGCTAACCTTGCCTGACACATGCACTTAAGTAATCTTTTTTAATTTTTTAAAAAGATTTTATTTATTTACTTTTAGAGGGGAAGGGAAGGAGAGAGGGAGAGAAGCATCAATGTATGGTTGCCTCTTGTGCGTCCCTTGCTGGGAACTGGCCTGCAACCCAGGCATGTGCCCTGACTGGGAATGGAACCATGGTTGTTTGGTTTGCAGACCAGTGATCAATCTACTGAGCTACACCAGCCAGGGTGTACTTCAATAATCTTTTTATCTTACGTGTTTCATCTCTCATTTTTTCTACTTCCCTGAAAACGTAACCGCCACATGCTATAAGCGCATGCCCTTCTTTTCTCCGCAGCTGTAATTTGCTGGGTCACTTGTGTCCCTGTGTGTCTAGGCCATAAGCTTTACCAGGGTTGGGGCCCAGTTGATGACTTGTTTTTCTGGGGACTTGTTCAGGTGGGTTTGCACATTTCCACCAGAGCCGACCCGTGGTTGTCAGGTGCTGACCTGTGATGCTCAGCTGGTACAGCAATCACAGTTTAGTAAATCTGAATGCACAAAAAATGCCGATTCCCAGGCATCCGCCCCAGAGAGCCAGAGTGAGTAAGTGGGAGTGGGCTCTTGGAATTTGGCATTTATTAGGAGGATCCCAGGTGATTCTGTGACCTAGAGGTTGGCTCCCTAGAGTGGATTATTGTAACCTCAGCAGTTAAGTTGTTCTGGGGACAAGGCAAGAGTGAGGGCAATTCTCAGAATCACTCGGTTGGATACTTAGAGTCTTTTCTTCCTGCCAGAGATTACACGGGTCCCTGACAGTCACTGACTAAACGTGGACTTTATTTTTTTTAAGTTATTATGCCGGCTGGGCTGATAAGTACCACGGGAGAACCATTCCCATCGACGGGGACTTCTTCAGTTATACCCGCCATGAGCCTGTGGGCGTGTGCGGGCAGATCATCCCGGTGAGTGTTAGCCTCTAATAAATACAGGAAGGTTTGTCAGGGTGCCCTGAGATGCAGCAAGCTCCCGCAGGCTCCTGATTGAGAACATGGGCTCTGACAAACCCAACTTGGGTTTGGGTCCCAGCCCTGACACTCATGAACTCTGTGACCTTGGGCGAGTCTGTCTCCCATTAAGCCTGAGTTTCCTTAGCTGCAAAGTGGACGTGAACATAGAACCCGTCTTGAAGTGGA